CTGGGACACGATGGTGGCCTGTCCATTTGAGGGGGAGACACTGAACACCTTGGGAGGAGGTGGGCCCGAGGCTGGGGGGAGGGGGTGGGCCCACTGGAACGACTCCGCAGGAACCACCACCTTACTGGGTCCCCAGGAGGGGCTGGAAGACATGCCGCTCACTGAAGCGTCAAGGAAGGGCGCGGGCGTCACCAAGAAGCTCAGCAGTGGCTGATGTGCGTGGCCAGTGTTAGCAGGAGGAAATGCCAGCGTGGGCTCTGAAACGGGACAGGGTGGCTGCACGTGATCATTAGGGGCAAAGGAACGAGGGGACGAGGGTCTGATGGGAAGCCGGGCACCCGCGGGAGTCCGTGGTGTCCCTGGGGGATGGGTGAGCAGCTAACTGGGGCCCCGCTTGACGTGTATGAATAGGAACGATCAAGTGCTGGGGCGCAGAAGGCTGGTGTCAGCAGCCACTACAGGAAACCGTGACTTCTGGTCTCATGTCCGGACCTGAACCAGTTCTCATTCGAGACAACTGTCGTTGGAGAGAGGCTCTCAACAACAATCCATGTCTATCCAGGTCTCCTCCCAGAAGGGCTCTACGCCACCACACACGCACACGCGCTAAGGATTCCCCTAGACTTCCTGCCGCCTCTCAAAGTAACTATACCCTGGACAAATGGCACCCACAATTTCGAAGGACTTTTGGATACAGGGTGTGAACTGACAATGATCTCAGGAGACCAAATGTCCAAACTGCACCCAGCTGTTAGCATGAAGCCTCATGCATGTCGAGGGACGAACGGAGTCCTGGCCCGTGTCCACCTCACGCTCGATGCAGTGGGTTTGTGGACGCATCCTGTGGTCACTCCCTCGTCCCCACGTTCATCCTGTGTGGACGGACTTGGCAACTGCCAGAGTCCCCTCGTTTTTCCCTGTCCCGTGGGTCGAGAGCCCTGTGTTAAAGTCAAGCTGAAGCCTGAAGCTGCCCTCAACCCCCCCCCACCCCCACAGGGAGGGTAACTCAGAAGTCTGCCTCCGTCCAGGTGGAAGTACGGATGTCAATGTCAACCTCAAAGACACAAGGGGTTCGGGAGTGGCGCCCCTTCCCCATATTCCCATTCAGTTCACTGGTGTCGGCTCTGAGCGAGCCAGGAGGGCGGCAGCAGCGCCCTGTGGTGCAGGGTATGGTGTCTGGCTTTGCCCAGCGCAGCCCCCCCTCCCTGGGGTGCGGATCGAGTCGATGAGAAGGACTGACCACAGGTGGCCCTCGTGCAGGCCAGACAGCCATTCACACCCACCATCGTGCTCTCCAGCCAGACTAGCTCTCCTGCACGGTAACAATATGGCGCACGGGACCTCGAATGGTGCCATCGATGTGCCCTCCTCCTGGGTCCACCTTCTTGAAGATATTCTGTTCATTGGACCTGGTGTCCAGGAAGTGGCCAGTGCTCTGTATGCCCTAGTGAGGTGCCCACTTGCCAGAAGACAGAGAAACCGTACAGGGGCCCTGGGCTCTGCAGGGGAAGTTTTGATGGCCTGGCTCGTACTGGAATATTCCCTGCTGCACATCGCTCGGTGCCTGGCAGGCTTCTTGGAACCGACACCACACTCGGGGTGCTCTGAGCGGGGCGTGGAGAGCAGCGAGCAGCAGGGCCAGGCTGGGTGCGAGCTCCCTGTCTCTGGGGCCTTCGGGCCGGAAGTCCCGGGTGCTCGAGAGGCCTGTGGCGGGTCCCTGGGGGGCCCCATCGGAGGGTGTACTGGGCCCTCAGGATCCTGGAGCAAGGCCACACCAGAGGACCATTCGCCCCACGAGAAGCAGCTCCCAAAATGAGACTGGGCCCCAGAACCCACCAGGACCACGGCAGCAGCCACAGGACGTGGCACAGCGATGCACGCAGATATGCCCGCCACTGCTGAGTGGGCACACAGGCTGTCCGGCAGACAGTGAGAATGGGCCATTTTGGCTTAGGGTCAAGTGAGTCTCAAGGGTGAAAAAGTTACATACAAAGTGAGCTCTGCAGAGGCGACTCCCCGCCCCTGCCCTGCACCCACGGCAAGCACTTTCCAGGGGGTGGCAGGGCTGTCCCGGGCTTGCAGGCAGGGCGGCCTGGGCGCGAGGTGGTGGAGATGCCCCAACCCCTCGTGCTGCAACAGGACAATTCAGAGAGCGCTCCACGTGTGGGGCGCGGGCTCCCAGCGGGGCAGGGGCCTCAGTGCTCCAGGCTGTAAGCACCTGGCCGGCTTTCCCGCATCCTCTGGGACATCTCCCCCTGCACGGGCTGACACAGCGTCCCCCGCCCCAATTCATGTCTATCCAGTCCTTATTTGGAAGTAAGGCCTTTTGCAGCTATAATTAGTTAAGATGAAGTCAAACTGCATTAAGGGTCCCTAAATCCCATGACGGTGCCTCCATAAGACGAGAACACGCAGAGGATTCGCGGTGCTGGCCGTGGAGGCTGGGGGGCCGGGACGGGGTGGGGGGGTCCGGCAGCACCAGGAGCCGGGAAGGACGCTGGGACAGACCCCCCCACAGCATCCGGAGGAGACAAGTCCTGCCGACGCCTCGGCCTCGAAGCCTGGCCTCCGGGCTGTGAGAGTGTAGATTTCTGTTGTTTTGAGCCCTCGGTCTGCAGCAGCCCCAGGAAAGTAATCTCTCCAAAATAAGGGCCCTGCACCGAAGTCCTTGTCCCAGGCTCTGCTTCTGCACCGTCAGGCTGGCCCTGCCCCAACCCCCGCCCCTCCGGCCCAGGCCGCGGGGAAGCATCTCAGGGTCTGTATTGGCAACAGGCTCTCCAGTCTCCACCAGAGACAATGGACCAGGAAGCCACCAGCCCCCGAAAACTGCCGGTGCTGCAACGAGGCGCATCTGGAGGCAAGCTCCCCGCCCCACCCCGGGCCCAGGTGCCTCTGTCACAGGAACTGCTGACACCCCCTTCCCAAGCTGGCCCCGCTCAGCTGCAAACCCTGATCCGCCTGGGCCTTCAATCTGCCCATGTCATCACCACCGGAATAGAACTCGGCGTTTAAAAAGCACCAGCCCTTCCCGTCCCTTTTTTCTGGCCTGTAAATATGTGGGCAGAAATAGCAGCCTGCAGCCTGGAGGGAGTGATTGCTGGTTGCGGAACCAGGCGAAGGCTCCTGCCCGGGTGGGCCTCGCCGCGTGGGTGCCCGAGGCAGTCACAAAGGCCGGCTTTAAATAGCTCCCTGTGGGTAAGTGCAGCAGAAAGAGGGCAGCCTGCAGGGTGCAGGGAGGGTGAGGAGAGGCGGGCATGGGGGGGGGCCGGGTCCCCGCAGCAGGGGGCTTGCGTGTGGGGGAGCCCGCAGCTCCATGAGCCCGAACCTCCCTGCACGTCGCCTGGGGGCCCTGCCTTGGTGGAACGCAGGACTTGGCACAGGACCCTGGTCGTGTCCAGGGGAGAGCGGGCAGCCCTGGAGCCCGGCGGGTGCCTTCTGCGCACCATCTGGGGCTTGAATGCCTCACCCCCGGCAGCTCTCCAGGTTCCAGGGAGGAGGGGAGCCGCGACCCTGCACGGGGTCATGTAGACCGGAGGGTGTCGAGGTGGTGAGGGAGGAAGGGACCGCTGCCCTTGGGCGTCACTGTCCTGGTCTGTGGAGTTGGCCACGTGCGGCTGCCCCTGAACCCCCTGCTGTCCAGAGGCGGCTGGATCCCCACTGACCCAGATCCAAGCTTTGTTGCTCACGAGCCACCTGCTCTCTGCTTGCTCCCAAGTCCACTCCCTTTGCAGCTTCTGGTCACAGTGGATGCTGGAGGTCTTGCTCCGGGGGCCACCCCACGCCCCGGATGACTCTACCAAGCTCTGAAGCCTAGTCCTTCGGAGTAGGGGCCCAAAGTGGCAGCCTGGTACCAGGAGGTGTTTAGGAGGTAAAGGGCCTTGGAGCTGGAGGGGGAGGAGGGGGAGGGGGAGGAGGAGGAGGGGGAGGAGAGGTGCAGGCGTGGGTGGAGGAGGGGAGGAGGGGGAGGTAGGTGTGGAGGTGGAAAAGGGGGAGGAGGAGGGGAGGAGGAGGAGGGGAGCAGGGGGAGGGAGAGGAGGTGTAGGTGCGGGAGGAGGAGGCGGAGGGGAGGAGGGAGAGGGAGGGGGGAAGAGGAGGTGCAGGTGCAGGAGGAGGAGGGGGAGGGAGGGGGAGGGGAGGAAGTGGAGGTGCTGATCACGGGTTGTGGTTTGGGCAGGTGGGCCAGTTCCCTCCTCTGCCCTTGGACACAGCCTGGTCCCCTGGGAGCGGCTTCCCTGCACCCTGTGCTGCAGCACCTGGGCTTCAATGGTCCACTGGCCCTTTGTGAGTGGCCATCCGCTAGCATCCCGTCCCCATGGCCTCGAGATGCTGCAGACCCCTGGGCAGCCTGTGCAGGCTGGAGGCGGATGGCAGGGCCCCCTGATTCACCGAGCGCTGTTCACACAAAGTCACCGTCATGCTCCCCTTGAGGTGGCCTGGGCTGGGGCCCACCAGGAGGGCACCGCGGGGCCAGCAGGGCAGCTGCCCGGCTGCCTCCCCAAGCACAGCACGGCATGGACCTGGCCGACCTTGTCCACAGCAGCCAGTGCTCTGGGCTCCACAGCGACTGCAGAGCGGTCTGATCCCCCCACTGCCTGCAGCCGCTTCCTCTGAGTGTGACGGCTGGCTCCGCTTTGGTGCCGTGGAAAACCTGGACCCCTTATTAAGAGCTGCCTTTCAGATCTCCAGTGACCGATGACCCCCATCACCCTGCTGCAACTGTATCACCCCATGTCCGTGGTGGGGACTGGGGACTTAGTGACCTCCCTTTAGCCATCACCATGTCTGAGAAGGCAGTGTAGTGGCACCCTGGCCGTGGGCCCAAGAGACTAAGTGGTGGTGGGGGGAGAGGTGTATGACTCCCCAAGCCTCTCCAGGTCCCTGCGTCTCGGCCCCTCCCACCGACGCCCAAGGACGTGACCACATGGCTCGCCTCTGGCACACAGCTCTCAGCAGCCCAGGGCGCAGCCGCAGCCCAGCCGCAGCAACAGAGAATGCAGCCAGCAGTCAAACGCTTTGTTTTATTTCATGCTGGGACCAAGGCCCATGGATGCCCTTCTCCACCATTTCACTAAGAAAGTAGCACCGCCAGTCTCCTCTCATGACCTGGTCCCAAGCCCGCAGAGCAAGTGCCTAGAATCAGGATTGTTTTCTGAGTCAAATGCATAGGTTCCCAAGGGCCGTGAGCCTGCCTGGCTCAGCCTTGGGTCAGGCCGGCTCTGCCGCTAAGGAGGAGCGGGGTGGGAGGGTCTGCAGGAGAGCCCCCGGGTAGTCTTCCAGGTGACGGCGGGGACAGAGCCTGGGGTGCTCGGGGAGGCCAAGGCTTTCCTCCCTTGTTTTTTGAGGCCTGTTGTTATGCCCCCTTCGAAACAGACAGAACGGGCGGATCAGCCCGAGAGCCTTTCTCTCAGTAGCCACGGGCTCCAGGACAGGGGAAGCCCGCCTGCCGCCTCACATGGCGTAGGCTGCCCAGTAGACGACGTTGACCGCCACGAAGGCTGCAGGGAACACTGCGCGGGCGTAGATGTCGATGGTGTCTGCATCGATGGGCTTGAAAAGCCCACGAAGGCCTCTCTGGCCCCCTGAGCGGCGCCCCCCCTGCTTCTTGGCCTCCCCCGTCTCCATCTCCACACACCTGTAGGAGCCCATGAGGTTCCCAGGTGTGCGGCAGCGCCGGCGGGACACTGCCAGCTCCTGGGTGACGCCGGCAGCCGAAAGGGAGAAGAGCACGATGGCATTCTTCACGTCCATCTGCACAGGGGGAGGGGCAGAGCTGAGCCAAGGGCAGGCTCCCCTCCAGGACCCCCAACCTGGGCCATGGCTGAGTCCCTGGGCAGGTGTGGCTGTGAACAGCGGCAGGCAGGGCCTGCTCTCCGGTGCCTGGGGGCTGCAGGTGGCCCATCCAGAGCAGTAGGCAGAGGGTCCTGAGTTGGTCCCGGAAGAGGGGCCCCACCAGGGCTGCCCCTGTGTCGGGGGTGGGGAGGACATGGGGGGCTGTCCTTGGTGCTGAACACGAGAGCCCACAGGCTCAGCCTCACCTCTGTTCTCTGCTCTGTGACCTTGACTTTGGCCTTTTGCTTCTTCCGGTAGTCAGCATTGAAGTGGGCAAAGGCGTACTCCACCAAGGCAGCAAACACAAAGACGTAGCAGATCCAGAAGTACACGTCCAGCGCCTTGATGGCCGAGGCCCGTGGGAGGGAGGAACGGGCACTCACCATCAGCGTGGTCATGGTCAGCACCGTGGTAATGCCTGCTGGGAATGGGCGGTGCCATTGCTGGGGCCCCTGCCATCTCCCTGCCCTCCCCCACCCCCAGCCCAAGTGAAGTTGGGACTCTTCTGAGCAGGCCTGGCTGGCCGCTGGCCCAGGACAGCTTGGAACAAGGGGCTGGAAGGCAAAACTTGGGCTCATGGCTAGCAGGATCGGGGTCTGGCTTCTGAGCTCCCACTCTTTTACCAGCTCCCTCGGAGGAAAGGTCAGGGCCCCGTACCTAGAGACACCCTGGCAGGCACCGCTGCCTGGCTGATCCAGAAGGAGACCCAGGACATGGCAACTAAGAGGACGGAGGGCATGTAGGACTGGATGATGTAGACACCCCGATTCCTCCGGAGGTGGAAGTGCAGGCTGAGCCGCGGGAACTGACCAGCTGCAGGAGAAACACTCCCTGTTGGGACCTGACCCCCCATACACTGTGGCGCCCAGGGGGAAGGGAGGACTTGGCAGCCACAGGGGGCCACTGCAAGCCTCAGACCCCTGCCTTCCATACTTCCCCCACAGAGCCTGATGGATCAGAGGCCTCCTGTGCCCTGGGCCTTGTCCCGGGAGAGAATCAGGGCCACCCAGAGAAAGGAGGTGAGAAAGATCCGGTGCTGCACTGGCCCAGGGCACTCTCCCAGAGTGTGGCCAGCTTGCCTCGGTGCACAGCCGAGCTAAAGAACAGGGCCAGCTGGGCTCGCTGGCACCAATGACCAGGCGGTAAGAGCTGGGAATGGACAGGAGGGGTCAGGAGACAAAGCATCCCCGGGTGAGCCCCACACCCTTCGTGTTCCCCCCAAACCTCACGCGCTGAGAGCCTGCAGGCAGCACCAAAGGACCGAGGAATAAGGCAGAGAAAGCCTGACCCATATCCACGCTGTGGCGTCCTGGGTCCCTCGGTCAGGGGCAGCCTGTGCCCATCAGTCGTTTTGCAGCTGTGTCCTCAGAGCTAACTAACGGCTTAGTTAGAAGTGCTAGAAGACCACAAGCCAGGCTCACAGGAAGAGGCTGTGAGAAGCCACATTACCCGATTTGAAGTTCATCAGCTCTGTGGCAAAGTGGTAGCTGGTGATGGTGAACTGAGCCAGCTGCAGCTTGTTCAGCCCGTGGATCTGCTCCTGGTTCTCAGACCAGTAGTAAACGATGTCCTCGGATGAGTAGCCATCTGCAGGAAAGCCCCCAGGTGGGTGTCCCCTGGGCCCTGGCAGCCCCCAGCAGAGGAGAATAGGGGATGGCCCAGGAAGACCCAGCCAGGGTCAAGAAGGCCTGCGGCCATGCCTGACCTCGGCCAGGTGGACAGGCCAGGAGAGCTGGAGAAGGGGCAGGTTGCCATCTCCAGGTGACTCACGGGGGCTGTCATGCTGGCTCACTGACACAAATACATGCCTTGTCTGGGCTGCACACCGTCTGTGGGAAGAGAGCCGGGCTGCCCAGGCCTTCTGGCTCCCTCTCTGCCTTCTCTTCAGCTCAGGCTCCTCGCTCCGTGGGTCCTGTCCCCGAGCCAAGCCAACTGCAAAGGCCCCTGGTGGTCTGAGCCCCCTCCCCCCCCAGCAGAGTCGCTGAGCAGAGCCCCCGCCACGGCCCCTCGAGGGGCACTCACAGCTCTCCAGATGCAGCATGCACTCCTGCTCGTCCATGGGGTACTTGGCCAGATCCATGTCGCAGGCCACCGTGGAGGTGATTCTGCCAGATAACAAGCCGGTGAGGCCTCTGGGAGCAAGGCCAGCTCCCGAAATCCTGAGGACCTCCTGCCCCACCCCCTAGATTTTTTAAATCTCCTGGTCTTTAAAATGTTGGCAACGAATGCTGTTTTTAAAAGGCATGTGTCAGAAAACACATGTTCAAACAAGCGCATGTATATGTATGTTCGTAACAGCTCAACACACAATAGCCAGAAAGGTGGGAATGGTCCAGTGTTCACGGACGGATGAGTGGATTCCATGCAGTGGAAGGTAAACAGGAATGACATCCCGGTAAACACCACGACCCTCAAAAACACCGTGCTAGATAAAGGACAGAAGGCAGACACAGAAGGTCACATGGCGAATGATTCACTCGATCCGAAAACGTGAGGTCGTGGGGCCGACAGATGGAGAGTGAGTGCCAATGGGCACGAGGACTCCTTTCTGGGGAACAAAACGTTCTGGAATCAGACAGACGTGACGTTTGCACAACACTGGGAATGTGCTGAATGCCACTGGATCTCTCACGTCCAAAGGGTGAATTTTGTTATGTGAATTTCACCCCCACGTGAAGAAACGAAGAGCCACCGTGTTGGCCAAAGAGCCGCACCTGGGGCTTCTCAGGGCCACCTTTGCGGCTGCCCCTACTAAGCAGTATGGGGGTATGGGGCGCCGCCAGAGGCCAGAGCACATCCGGCTCCCTGCTGAGCGCCTTGTGGGGGGGGCACTTCCAGGGCTCACCGGATGCTGTACAGGATCACCCCGTCAGGCTGCAGCCGGATAAGCTTGTTCTCCACAGTCACGTCGTGGAACCAGGCCGACTTGGCATTCACAATGAAGGTGTCCGGGAGCCACAGCTTGTCCACGAAGCGGCTGTCCAGGCCCAGGGTCTCGTTGGTGTGGTTGTAGGCCAGCCTGCTGTCCCGCCAGCTCTGATGCAGGAACACGGTCATGGTGTACTCCTGCAGGGGGAGGTGGGAAGGGCCGCCGGCTGTCAGCCCCGCTCCTCTCCTGGGGGCTGCAGCCAGGGCCAGGGCAGAGGCAGACCAGCACCTACCATGTTCACCTCCGAGATGTGGTCGATGCTGGCCACCTCGATGGCGAGAGCCACGTTCACAGGAGGCCCTGCAGGGGAGGAGCTGAAGCCAGGCTGTCCACCCAGTGAGAGCCCAGGAGGGCAGAACAGGGGTCGGCCAGGGTTTTGCAGGGAAGACCATGTTGGCAAAAGTCTGCAATGAGACCCTGAGAAGATCCACCTTCCCAGCTGTCTCCTGGGGGTGGGGGGCTACTGTTGAGGTGGGACACACCCCTTGGGGACCACAGACACACCCCTCGAGGGAGCCGGGCCCGGAGCCAGCAGGGCTCACCCCCACAGCTGGATGCAGCAGACTCCCCGTGCCCCCACTGGCTGCCCTCACCTCCAATGCCAGGCCGGAAGTTGCGAGCATAGCCCTCTATCAAGCCATCCAGGTTGGGGAGCCAGGATATCTCCAGATTGGAACCAACATAGTCCCCAATATCATTCATTGCTCTGGAAACATAAGGCCACTGGTCACAGGCAAGGCACCAGGGATGGAGCCCAGCTCCCTTCCTAGGCACCGAGGCCAGGGGCGGGCAGGGACGACCACTGTGAGAGCCCCTCCAGGCTGGCCCTGGCCAGTCCCAGTGACTCCTGCCAGAAACAGGGAGCCCACGAAGGAGAAGGGCCAGGACTCTTCCACCTTACCCATCAGCCCCTCTGCTCAGCTTCCGCCCACCCGCCTGGCCTTGAGTGAGCCTGCCAGGTCACACAGAGTCCCCAGCCTCCCTCCACCCCTGGCCTGAGGAGGGTGGCCAGCCCCAGAGCCCCCACCTGGATGAATAGCCTTGGGGGACCCTGACAAGGTACACGGCCTCCCTTTCAGCCTCTGACGGCAAAATATCCTGTCACCTATTGGTGACCTGGGAGAAGAGCTGTGTGACCAGGAAGGAGAAGGCAGGGAGAGGGAGGGGATGGATGAGGTCCCGATCCTGATCAGGGCCAAGGCTAAGGGCCCACGGAGACGTTGTAGCCGACCTCCTGCCCTCTGTGCCCTTTCAGGCAGGCCCACGCCTGGCCCCAGATCCCCAGTTGTCACGTGCTCCTGAGCACAGCCTGACCCCAGAGCGGCTGGGGCCCCAGCCGGTGGCTGCAGGCTAGGCCGACTGACAGCCTGTGCAGGGCCGCAGGGTGTTCCACACGTGGCATCGCGTGGCCTGTACACACCAGACTGCCCAAAGCCCCCCAGCAGCTCCACCTACACACCCCTCCTTGTCCTTACCTATCCTGGGGTGAACTATGTCACCCACAATTCACATCCACCCAGAACCCCAGAATGAGACGTTATTTGGAAATTGGGCTCTAATCAGTGAAGATGAGACCATGATGGATTAGGGTGGCCCTCAATCCAATGAGTGGTGTCCTTATAAGAAGAAAAAGCAGACACACAAGGAGAAGGCCATGTGACAACAGAGGCAGAGACTGGAGAGATGCAGCCACAGCCAGGGGACGCCAAGCGCCCTGGCAAGACCAGAAGCTGGAGAGAAGCACAGAATGGATCCTCCTCAGAACCCTCCGGAAGGAATCAGCCCTACCCTCGGACTTGATCTTGGGCTTCTGGCCTCCAGAGATGGGAAAGAATAAATGTCTATGGTCTTAAGCCCCCTAGTTTGTGGTCACTTGTTACAAGGGCCACAGCCACCCCCTCCTGCCCATGGGGTAAGGCCCAGCCACAGTCAAGCAGGAAGTGAGGGGGGCATTCAAGAGGGCATTCAAGAAAAACACTCCTGTGTTATCTGTAGTGACACTGTATTCTCAGGTGGGTTCTCCAACCCCAGGAAGGCGGCCTGGGTTAGGGAAGCACTAGCAGCTGGGTGCCCAGCCCCTCTTCTGTTCCACACACTGGCCCTTTGACGAAGGTGGAAGTTGAACCAGGAGCTCCTTAGCTAAGGAAACTCACAACCCCCCGATCTATCCCGCCAGACCACCTTGGTGCCTCCGGGCAGCAGCCGGTCCAGGGTGGCGATAAGGCTGGTGATTTGGTAACAAAGTACAAGAAGGAACTGAATGAAGTCCTGGCCCCAAGTAAAGCACAATTAAAAATGCAAATGGAGGTCACCCTAAGGATCAGACATAAAGGGACTCGTATTAGGTTTTATTTTTGGACTGGCCCAGCCGCCGCGGTCGCCCGCTGCAGGGAGACACCATCCTTCCCGGGCCTCAGGATGGTGGTTTGGGCAGGCACCCCTTCCCTCGGCTGGGTCCCACACCCACTCCCAGGCTTAAGGCAAGGCCACGGGTAAGCCCCCGGCCAGGAAGCTCGCCTTGAAGTGGCAGGATGCCAGTGGATTTCCTAGCCTTTGCCTTCCCTAGTGGGTGTGAAGGGGACAGGCTCCCTGCCCTGTGTCACTTCTCACCCAGCACAGCGGCTGCTCGAGAGCCATCCAAGGAAGAGGGGCTAATGGTTGCCCAGGTGCCGGGGGGCCCCGCTTTCCTCCACAGTTCAGGTGGGCAGTTAAAGGGGTGGACGGGGTACACACTCTATGTGGGGGGAGGTTGTGGTGACTCTGACGAGCACCTTGGGAGAGAGGTTCTGCCTCATCTAGTGGCCTTGGAACCCAACGACGGCGTAGGGTGGGGGTTTCCATTGTGCAGACAGACAGCAAAATTCAGAGACACGCTCAAACTCCCGGAGCGTAGCAGGCACCATGGAAAACACTGGCAGCTTGCACCTAGCTGCTTGGGCGCCACCAGGCCTCCCTCCCTCCACTGACCGCTTGAGAAGCAAGTCCACCCTTGTCCTTGTCTGTGCCCCTGGGGCCAGAGGGGAAAGGCGGGTGTAGCTGAGCAAGGCAGAGGGGCCCTCTTCCCTGCAAGGACCCTTCCAGCGTGCGCGTGAGCCCACAGTCCCTGGCAAGTCTGCTCTCGGAGCAGTACCAGCTGCACCGGCCCCTCAGTTACCAAGGATGAGAGGAATGGCACGACAGTCGCACAGAGCGCTGGCAAAGCAGGAGCCGCACACACAGCCTCTCCGGGAGGTGGGGGTGCCAGCAGCCAGGGGGCCACCCACGAGGGTGTGCAGCCGGCGAGCTCCGGCCCCTGCCACACGACTGGATCTTCAGCCTCAGGGAAGGCACAGCTCTGACCCGGCCCACAAATGCTGCACAGCACGTTCCTCCTTATTCCGCAGAGACTTCCCTGCCAGACCCCAGGACCTGACCTGAGCCGCGCAGCCAGGGCAGGCAGCCCCGCGCTCCCAACCTCTCCGGGTGTGAGGACCTGGAAGCGGAGGGAAAGCAGGCTGCCCACCTGCTTCTGGAGCGGAGGGCAGAGGGACAGGAAGCCAGCAGGAGAGGAGGCCCTGATCGACAGCACTGCACCGTCTGAAGGTCACCCACCAAGGCCCATGAAGCCCGGAGGCTCTCCTCCCAGCCGGGGCCATGGCCCCGCAGCCTTCCTGCACAGGCAAACGGGCACAGCCATTACCCCCAACCCCAAGCCAGATGTGAGTCAGAGATATGAACGTTTCAGTTTTTAAAAAGGCAATATAATGTACATACGGACTTGGGGTGAGGGCGGGAGTGGTCTGGAGAATTTCCCAGCAGGAAAGTACAAACAGGCCCCAAAAGTAGGGTGAGTGAGCCTCACATCAGGGCAGAACAGGCTTTGCCACCAAATGAGTTTTGGTGTCAAACCTGGGCTACGACTTTGGGGTTCAGAGCGGTTTGGACTTCAGAATCACAGCTCCGTGGCTGTGCTGGACCAACAGCTGATCCCAGGCCTCCAGCACATACGTCCATGGCCACGCCTCAATGCTTTTGCCCTTCCTGTTACCTTGAAGTAGGAAAAGGGAAAGGGGCCATGGAGCTGCACAAAAGAACAAAGCCTTCGGAGGACAGGGGTCGGATCGACATAGCCTGTGATCTCCCGCACGAACCACCCCATGGCCAGACCAGACCTTCCTGGCTCTGCCCCCGAGGCCGCGAACAAGGACATTCTGACCACATCCCCCCGCCTCCATGTCACATGCTGTCCGAGTGCCTACAGCCCAAACAGGCTGATGTTCAACCATTTCCAGTTTCTAAGGCCTTTAACAGCAGTTGATTGGCCAGAAGTCCAGAGTGCTGGGGGGCATGGGGGGCGGTGCCCTACTTGCTACCATGGTCCTGAGCCCTCGCACTAAAGGTTTTCAAAAAGGGCCCTCACAATCCCAGGAAGGTGGCTGGGATACGGACATGGGGTGCCACTCTACCTGGAGCCCACTTCAAGTCCCTAGAGAAGAGAGAAGCCGGCGGGGACCCTATTGGGAGGGTCCTAGAAGCCAAAGGGAGGAAGCCACAGCCCTTCTTAGCCTCGTCCTTCCCTGGGGAGACAGAGCCCTCCTCCCCTCCCCCAGCAGTTAGAAATCCTGAGTCGTCTCAGTCCTCCGCCCCCTCACCGCCCCCCACCCGAGGCAGCTCGCTGCTTCCCCCCTGCACACTCTGGAGTTGAGTGGCTGCCATCTGAAATGGGCCCTGGAAGGAGACTCCGCAGCGTCCTGGGCCCGAACTTTCTAACGACCACGCACAACCCTCACGTCGTCCACCCCAGCCCTGCGGGCTGCGGCGGAAGCGTGTCGGTGCGGCTCGGCTCCCACGGGGAAGGGGAGCAGCCTCCTCCCCCGTGTCCTCGGGGAGGCTCCTCTCTTCCTGCCTGCAGCTCGCGCCGTGCGGAGCGCGCAGCCCGGGCGCCGGGAGGGCACCAGCAGCCAGGGGTCGCCGGGGCCGAGGACCCCACGCGAGCCCGGGCGCCGGGCGGGGATTAGGAGCGGCTCCCACGCCCGCGCGCAGCCCGGCGGCGCCGGTTCAGCACCGGGACGGCGGACAGCGCCCGGGGGCGGCCCCAAGGGCAGCGGCGCGGTGAGTCGGGGAGAAGAGCCCGCGGGGGACCCGGGGTGGGGGCGGGAGGCGCTCGCGGGGAGACGGGGGCGGGCACGGGGGGGGTGAAGGCTGGAGTCGACGGGGGAGGTAGACGGAAGGTGGGGGCTGGGGGGGGAAGACCGAGGGGCGCCCCCGGGCGCAGCGCGAACCCCGGCTCGCTCACCTGGTGCCGAGCGGCAGCTGCGCGCAGAGCAGCAGGAGCGCGGGCAGCAGCCGGGCCAGCGCGTCCATGGCCTCGGCCTGGGCGCTGCACCGGGGGCGGCGCCGGGTCCGGCCGGTCGCCGGCGCTCGCGAAGTTCTTCCCGGCAGCAGCGGCTCAGCGGGGCGGGAGCGGGGAGGGCGCGCGGCGCGGGCGCGAGGGCGGACGGAGCGCGGAGCCCGGAGCCCGCCCCGCCCCGAGCCGGGCCGCCCCCCCCCCGCCGCCCCGCCCGTCCGCCCCCACCTGCCGCCGCGCTCCGCCGCGCTCGGGAGCCGCGCGGATCCCTCCCCGGCCCCGGCCGCTCAGCCCTGCCCCGTCCCGCCGGGCCGCGCCCCCTCCCCGGCGGGCCGCGCTTCGGGCAGGGGTCCCGCGCTCCCCTTCGCGTCACTGCTGCCCGGGAGGCGACCCAGGCCCACGACCCGCCTGGACGCAGCCTCCTGCTGCCCGGCCAGGCGCCTGCAGACAGAAGGGCGCCGTGAACCTCGTCCCGGGGCTCTTCGTGGGGGTCACAGGTCCCGGGGGTTCGGCAGGTGCGGGGAGGGCGGTAGCGTTCCCACAGCCTTCACCGGCTGCTGGGAGAGACTCCCCCACCCCACCCCGCAGCTCCTTCCAAGCGCCTCACACTCATGCCAGAGCCGGAGCCGCCACTGCCAACCCTGGGCCGGCCTGACCAGGAGAGGAGGGGGGCGGGCAGCGGCTGCTTCTCTGGCGGAGGCCCTGGTCACGGGATGCGCGACTTCTCTGCCAGCCTGGTCAGGCTCGGTCACACCTGTGCACGCCCCTCCAAGGGCACTGCAGATGGCTGGGTGTAAGGAAGGTGGCACCCACCCCTGCACCCCGTGAGGAGCTGAGGAAGTCAAGGCCATGAGCAATTCTTTCCAACAGCAGTTCTGTGCAGTTCCCCTCAAAAGACACCACAAACTTTAATCATTGTGGGCTCATTTATTCATTTCCGGAGTCAATATCAGCTGACAACAGAAAGTGAATTCCCATGAAAACACCTAAGAACGGGCACACTTGTCCTGGAGGGTGTTAGGTCCGCTCCCATGACTGCAGACGCGGGCAGAATGGGGCAGGCAGGAAGGGCCTTGCTGCTGGAATTTTCCAGCCCAGTGTTCAGTGCTGAGTGTCCAAGGATGGGGCCGGTTCCCAGCTTTCTTTCCTGATGCCGCAGAGACGGGCCCTAAGAAAGCCGGTCAGGGCTCAGCAGGAGTGCCTCCCTCGCAGGGCTACGCCCCCCTCTTTGGGTATGGAAGCACTGATCTCAGAATCTTCACACCCTGCACGTACGGGGCGTGTGCTCTGGCCAAGTCTCGGGGCCTCCCGGCCTCATTCCTGGGTGTCCTTCTGCACACGTTTTGGGAGAGTAAGGAGTTCATCCCTCAGAAAGTGCCCAGAAGACGGCCTGGAACAGAGCACGGGCTGTGAGCGTCTACCAGCCCCTGTTACTCCCGCACCAGAACACGGTCTTGTCTGCCTGCTTCCTCACAGAATCCCTCGTGTCTAACCCTCTGGCACATAATAGGTGCTTAATAAATGTAGGAAAAGACACAGTCTGAGTCTCCAAAAGCCAGCAAAATGAACCTAGGCAGCAGCCCCTTTGCTGCTCGGGGCTTCTGTCTTTCAGTCCCAAGCTGCGATCTCTGTGCTGGTCAGGCAGCCAGAGGGTCTGGCTGTCACACCCCGTCCATATTTGAGAAGATCCAGGGGCTGACAGCCTCAGAGAAATAGCGTTAACCCTTAATCACTAGATTCAATTAGTTCAAGGTGAACCAGACTCTGTTGCTATTTTCTTCACTTGCCTCTATTACCTGAGGCATAAAATTAACCTTAAACTTCCACTGCAAAGTTATACTGGACGGGTATTCTAGCCATAGCTCTGGCTATTTGGTCATCAAATCGCCTCTTCTTCCTCAAGCCCTGGAGGCAAGCGTGTTGCAAAGCCGTGAATAGAGAAAGAGAGAAAGAAGTCACCGCACGCTCATCCCACCTACCATGTGGTGCGCCTCCTGCAGATTTCTCTAGTAGCAGCTCCATCCCGAACAACTGGGATGTTAGTGACCTTCAGTCAAAATACTTAATTTCTTCCCCAGAGTCTGCAAGCTTCGTTTTAGTTCTAAATTATCCCTAACTGGTCTGTTTGGATCTGAAGAATGGGAATTTTCATTATTTGAAAATCAGTTTTTTGAAAATTAGCTTGGGGGCACTGGGCGGTATCCCCTTTTTTCATTCTCAGCCCCATTCAGGTAAGATCCAGCTGCCCCAGAACAGAGGGAGCCCGTTTGGGGCAGCCCCACCAAAGGTCAGGAAACCAGGCCTTGGTTCTGTGCGGCTGGCCCCCGGCCAGGCTAAGGTGAGCCTCAGAATCAGCATCAGCCGGGGCGCCTGGGTGGCTTAGTCGGTTAAGCATCCGACTTTCGCTCAGGTCATGATCTCGCGGTTCGTGGGTTCGAGCCCCGCGTCGGGCTCTGTGCTGACTGCCAGCTCGGAGCCTGGAGCCTGTTTCAGTCTGTGACTCCCTCTCTCTCTGACCCTCCCCTGCTCATGCTGTCTCTTTCTCTCTCCTAGAAATAAATAAAACATTTAAAAAAATTAAAAAAAAAAAAAAGAATCACCATCAGCCACGCCGGGGAAGTGGAAACACCCCACCTCTCCCTCCCTTTGGGAAGGTTCAGGAAATGCTCTCTGAGTCAGAGGTCTAGGTCAGGCCACCTCCCTTCTCTGGAAAATATGTAGATTATTCCCCGTGTTAATTCCACGCCTGTTATTTTGGAGAAGTACAACTTTGGTGAAACTCAGAATCCATAGAAGGAGGGGTCTCCGCAAGTGGAAAGCGCTCCGTTTCAGGTGAGGCCTGTGCGGTTTCCCCAGACACCCCGACAGCCCTGCCCCGTTCTTGGTACCACTAAGAGCGCAGAACAGGAGTCCTGGTGCCAGACCATGGGAATGAAACAGCGAGTTTCAAACCTAACACATCTGATCCCTGTACATCTACCTAACTCGTCCACGCCCCCCCTTGGACACGGTGGCCTCTCCGTCAGGCAGGACCCTCGCAGAGTCCTCTGGTTTCAAGCTCGGGGCAGTGACGGCCGTCTCTCTTCCCCTGCTTAGTGCAGCGAGGCGTTATGCTCCCCCCATATGGCGCTGAGCAGGACAGTCATGCATTTGGCCCTGGAAGGTATGGAAACCGTCTCCTTACTTAGCCCCCCGGAGTCACAGGCAATACTTCTCTGGGGCGGAGCACAGCAGTGACCTAAGCTGCATCTGAAGAAGCCACAAAAGTGTGGTCTGCTGGTCTATTTGCTTCTTGAAATCCTCGACCTGGAGCTCTTTTGCATTATTTACCTTTTGGGTAATCACTTCGTGGGGTGCTCGCAGCCAAAGGGAAGGGATGGCACTGAGTCGGAGGCTTGGGCGGAGAGCTGGCCTGCATCCATCCCACCGGCACGATGGGCCCCGGGAGGTGGAGGTGAGTCATAGGGATCCGGGAGGGGAAACAGCACTAGCTAAATTTAAAATCCCTGCCTGATATATTTGTGAAGTTGCTTTATTATTTTCCTGGGGAAAAATGCACCAAATAGAGAAACGGCAGTGACAAAAGAATTTTCTTGAGCTTAGGATGTAATTATTGATGCTATGATTTTCAGATGGAATCTATTCATTGAGAAGCGAGGTAGCTTGGCCGAAAGGACTGAAAGCACACTACTGGCAGCAGCCTGGGGTTGTCCGTCTGCTTAGACAGAGGATGGACTCACAGCAAATAGGGCTTGGCTGTGATGCTGTTTTCAGGAATCAAGGCCCTGAGAACCAATACACAATCGAACTTGGCCACTCAGAATGTTTTCTATGTGAGTCAAATGGACATTCAAGTACAAATGGTCATGTTTAGGGGCGCCTGAGTGGCTCAGTAGGTTAAGCATCCAACATGGCTCAGGTCATGATCTCACAGTTTGTGGGCTCGAGCCCTGCCTCGGGCTCTGCCCTGACAGTGCAGAGCCTGCTTGGGATTATCTTTCTCCCTTCCTCTCTGCCCACTCATGCTTTCTCTCTGTCAAAATAAATAAATAAACTTAAAAAAAAAACAATTGGTCATATTTAATGTGGCGAAATCAGAATTCTATTCTTCTCTCTTATAGTGATTTGGGGGTGCCTGGGTGACTCAGTCGGTTAAACGTCTGACTCCTGATTTGGGCTTGGGTCATAATCTCATGGTTCGTGGGATCGAGTCCTGCGTTGGGCTCTGGACCGACAGCATGGAGCCTGCTTGGGATTCTGTCTCTCGCTCTCTGCCCCTCCCCCACTCGCTCTCAAAAAATGTAAGTAGTGACTTGAATTCTTTCATGTGGTAGAAGACATTGAACACAAATTAGCGTTCCTGACAACAAAGGCTGTCAGCCCAGTGAGGAAAACATTCCACTTTGGATAGAGCCACACGGACTCAACCACGTGGAAACTCAAGGAGCCACTGAGGAGAAGGGTCCCGCCAGCAGCTGGGACGAGGCTGCTCCCAGACTCTGTGACAGGAAGACTCTGTGGTCCCCTCGTCTCTCACTGTCCTCAATGCTGGCCCTCCAGCCAGGACGCTGGAAAAATAAAAACAGTGATCCTTTATATACTTGATATTCAATTACCTTCATTAAACTTCCTCAATCACACACACACACACACACACACACACACACACACACACTACATGCCAAATATTGGTCTAGATGTTGGATGTGAAGAAGATATAAAAGGTCCCCTTCTCCACTGAGCTCCCCTTCTAGAAGGCGGAAGATGGACAATTAGTAAATAAACAAACCTTATTAAGGATGAAATACATGCGGCGATGGAACATAAGCAAGATAATAATAGAGTAACTGTTCTGGGAAGGGGGACAGTTAGGGTAGTCAGGAAGGACCTTGCTGTGAAGTAACGTTTGAGCTGAAACTTGAAATATGTCTTATCCCTCCTGGAGCAAAAGCCAGCTGCATCAAGGCCCAGGTAAATGCTCCAGGTAGAGAATAGAAAGTGCAAAGGTCCTGAGGTGCCTGGCTGGCTCAGTTGATGGAGTGTGCAACTCTGGTCT